CCTGATAGAAATCCCCGTCTACGCGAGCAATACACGCGCTGCATTGGGTTAAGGCCCTGACTCAAGAGAATTCTCGTCAGGCAGTTCTACACCCCATTTACATGGATTAACTTTCCGAGTTACAGGAGGATTTCTGAAAAGTTTGCTTTCCAGAATAACGAAGAGAAACTAGAAGTCCAAAATACGCGTACATAAACAAATGTCGGACTCAAAATACCTGGTTTTTCTCCTCAGGAGGAAGTGCAGCAAAGGAACTTGGAGCCCTTTTAAGAGACAGATTATTGGGTATCGCGCGTTGCGTAGCCATTATAGGGCTTACATTGGTTCGATCAGGAGGTGCGGCTACCGAAGAGTTGGAAGAATTTGGAGGAACAGGAGCAGAAAATGCAGGAAAGGACTGAAGACTGCCGCCAAGCTCGCAATGTGAGAGTCGAGGAGGATGGAATGGAGCGGCATGTACAAGTTGGTCTGCGTGATACTTTGAAGCCAAACCACAGGTGTTCGCAGTAGCAGGTGCAAGCTCGTCCGAACCAACGGTCGAAAGCAGTTGCTTTTTATCCTGGTAAAAGTCTCGTAGACCCATTGAAAGTGCCGCCATTCGGTGTTCAAGAGTGGAAACGATTGCTTGGACATGTTTCGAAACTTGCGGGTGGTTCGCAACTTCCTGAAGGACTTGTGGTGTGAGCTTTAACAGTTGTTGCAGATAGCTATTGATGTATACGACCTCAGACTGAACAGTATGGGCACCGGCTGACAGGGCTTCAGAGGTCTGAATAAGGTGACCTTCAGAGTCTGCTGACGAGTATTTCAGACTGCTCATTTTTGTCTCGGCGTCGGCAAGTCGACCTAGAATGTGCCTTGCAGAGGGCAAAAACTGTCCTCGGTAGAGAGAGGAGACAGGGATTTTGTAGGCTGCTGCGGTTACACTTAGGCGGGGTTTTAATCTAGCTCGGCCCAACATGACTTTTTGATGGAACAATTGGGCACACTTTACAAGTTCTGAAGAACGA